CTACATGGAAATTTAAATGTTTTCAGATGTTAAAAGTTTAGAAAAAAGCTTCCAGCAATCATGCTTTTTCTACATGATGTTTTTCTAGTTTTTAATGTTGACTCAGTGTCTCATTGTGACAGTGTTTAATCTGTAAAGCAAACAACAGAGAGTCAAACCAGCTGCTGCACAAACATCTGCTGTTCAGGTGAGTGAAACTTTCAAACTGCAGTTAACTTCAACCAGGCAACACTAATAAAAACAAATCTCCACCTTCTTCTTCTAAACCTGCCTTTAGGGTGTAGAGCTCCCTGAGCCTGCACTGAACTTCAGGCTACTCATAAAGTTTGACTCCTCCTTGCTCCAAAGTCCTCCTACCTGAAAACAAGGAGGTCCGGGGGGGAAGAGAGGAGAGCCACAGTGGTAGACAAGGAGGAACGAGGGATGGGAGCGCAGGAAGAGGAGGACAGGGCACCAGATACCAAGCAACAGAAAACACACAAAGAGGTTTATTTCTCCTTCCTGCCTACAGATGCGAGCCTCTAATTGAAGAGGTGGAGGACAGAGAGGAGACGCCAGAGGAGAGAAGGGAGAGGAAGGAGGAAAAAAGAAAGAAGAAGAAGAAGAGGTACAAAAAATACAGGAAGGTAAGAACAGGAGTGGATAAATTCTTCTGCAGTCACTGTGATAAGATGTCTAGATTTATAAACACTGACAATGTTACTGCAACATTATATTAATCAATGTACGAGTCTTGTATTATCTATAATTCAAAAGGAATAAAACCAAAATTACACAAAATATATCTTATCAATTTATGCAGATATAAAAATAGAGTGAAAAAACAAACACTAATACCATAAAATATATAAAACATAGAAAAATACTTACATATTTTATATAAATTATATAAAAATATTTGAGTACGATATAAAACTAGATACACAAAAATAAATTACTGTATAATAGTCAACATTAGCTAAAATGAAATATAAAATGAATTAAACAAAATCTGAAATAAATGGCATATATATTGCTGTTTATCAATTTGTGTGTTTGAAAATATTTTACTCCCTCATTACGTCTCTTTTTATCTAGTTTTTCTATTTAAGTGTTTTTTATTGCTTTATAAGGTTGTCTGCATTACACTCAGTTGTTTACAACCTTTTTTTTATTTATTTCTTGTCCTATTATTAGCTGTCAGTCATTTGTAAATCACAATCACAAAAGACTACAATATAAATATCTGTACAAAGTATGCAGCAGCCAAATATAAAGCAACAAACTATAAAATTGAACAAAGTGTTACATTTACTTCCTGCGTGTCGGTTCGACTGCTCTGCTGTTACACATTGACGCTGCAGTGTGAGTATGACCTTTGACCCTGGCACACTGTAGCAGGGATCACTTTATCAGCATGACTGTAGCCATGACAAACACAGATAAAGAAAGAAACTGGCCAGACTCTTACTAAGAACACTATGTAATGTAATCGTGTCATGTGTGTGAGTCCAGACCCTGGATCAACTTACTGGTCTGTGCCGTATAACACCACTGTTGCCCCCTCCCCCTCCCCTCCAGTGAGCCACACCGCTGCAATAGGAGGCAGGTTTCCTCCTTGGGGAGGACACATGAGGCTGTTTCCAACAAACAGCTCCACAGGCTGAGGCACTGTGCACAGAGTCTGAAGGAAGCCAGAGTCATGGCCAAGAGGATCTGTGGGGCCACAGTTTGTGAGCAGGTTCCAGGATCTTTGAGGAGGTTTCATGGGGCCCTGGGGATCTGAGGGATCAGTGAAAGCTCTGACACTAGAAAGTCACTTTCAGCTTTTCCCGTTTTAGGGGTCGCCACAGCGAATTATCACACTGATGACTCACATGTTGACATTTGGCACGTGTTTTACACCAGATGCCCTTCCTGACGCAACCCTGATTCGAACCCGGACCGCAGCGGCGAGAGCGCTGTGCCTTAACCACTAGCCTACCAGGGACGGCTAGTGATAGTTCTGACAAAAAAATAGTCTAAACAACTGTTAAGTGGGGTTCACAAATAATTTCAAAGTTTGTAGCTGTATGTGAAAAAAAAATCTAAATTATAAATTTAAAAGTTTGTGTATGTAGATCTGTGTCTGAAAAAAATAAACGGAGAATGTAAATAAAACCTGTGAATATAAATGAGTTATATCAGCTATGAGGTTACACAGGGACACTGACACAGGAGTGTGTTTGTTTACATGCATATTTATAGCACAATTGTGTGTCAGACTTGAATTTTGCAAGCAGATGTTTCAAAGATTGATTTAAAACTAATTATTTGTGAACATCGGTTTACAAGTTCAAAGCTTCATCCACCCATATTTGAGCCAAGTACAGTGGCAAAGCAAACCTGGTGCAGGCAGCAATAGTTCAACCATCCTCAGTAATAATGTTATGGTTTTGGTTAAAGGGGACCCCTTAATAAACAGATCTGATTTACCACATTCCATTACTACTCAGTAAGCTAATACTCAGTGTTTGTGCTGTGCTGAAGCTTTAACAGTGATATGTTTTCCTCTGGCAGAACGTCGGGAAGGCGCTGCGTTTCAGCTGGCGCTGTCTGCTGGCCGGGTTACAGAGCATGGCCTCCACTTACTCCACGCCTCTCTCAGCTATGTCCACAGTCATGACTGAGGTGAACCGAGCAGCTGGCAGCTGCGCGTGATTGCACGTGGACATGATGGGGGAGGGGCAGTATCACTTTTGGAAACTTCTTTGGCCCCTGGGCTTGTTTGGGCAACAAGCAGGACAAAATCTGAAGTTTGGTTTTTAGTCAAATAAACTCACGGTGATACAAGAAAAAATGAATTAAATTGTTTAATTTCTACAAATTCAAGTGATTAAATACATGTTTTATAGCAATGAAGAAATCTAAAATTTTTTAATGAATGGCATAATAAGAGGCTAAAATATGAAATGTTGTACTAATTAATGGGGTTAAATACATAATATTATAGTGCAGTAGTACTATAACTGTCATCTTTTAACAAAACAACTTTTAAAAGCTATTCTGTGTGTATAGTCATGGGTTTTTGGCCAGTCTTAACACACACACACAGTCGTATGTGTTTACCCTGAGTTTGTACAGTATTATGCACTGAACATCTCTGACTTCTCCAGATGTACACAGTTAATTGTCTGAAATGTCTACTGTATGCTTTTAATACCGAAACAACACCACACATACTCATCACCTTTAAATCCTATGTTAAGACGTTTTCTTTACTGCTGCAGAAGAATGTCCTGCGCTTTGCAACTTGCTGGACTTTACAAAATATATCAACTCTGAAATGGTGACTCATTTGACTTAAATGTTGTAGTTTATTGCAAACTCCAGAGATGCAATTGTGATACAGGACATTTGCTTAAATTAAAAATACTGATTTACATATCAAACACTAGATTGTAATGTAACATTATATATTAACCTGTGCTGTTGGTGACATAAACCGTCTATCATTATTTCCTCTGGAAATTCAAACATTTCTAATACTTTATAAAGATAAGCCAAAGGCTTTTTCTGCATCAACCCCCATCAATATCAAATCTAGTTTGTTTCTTGGCATTCTGTGCTAACAATATATAGATTCTAATATTGGTTTTAAGACTCCTATTTTGTATAAAACAAGTTTTAATTACAGTGAATAATAATTTTACCCAACAATATCCAGAAGATTCTTTGCTAGACAGTTATTGATTAGTAATGATTTCACTGTCACAATTAATTTGTCGATATTCAGCTAGAGTATTTCCCTACCGTCCTCACATTATTCAACAGTTGCTGTGATAAATGACTCATTGTAATAACTCAACATGTTGGTGACAGTAAAATAAGTAAGATAACTTCTAAAATATTCCCTGTTCCTTGGTTTGGGCATTTCTTTCATTAAAACATCCCAGAGCAGCACAAGACTGCCATTTCCCCCTTATTCAACAAACAGAACAGGCCCAAGTCTCATCTAGATTTGTGGAGCTACTTATGCCTTTCCTTTCCTATCTTCTGTTAAAAACTTTATTAAGCAAGGTGCAATGCACAGGATGACCAGAGTGTGCCATATTGCCACTGTACTGAAAGGTCTCCGCTCCTTCCTGCCTTAAAGAGAAGGCAAGGTTCACTTTAAATTTGAGCCCTCTTATCATCTGGCAAGTCAACAGCAATCTTGCTGACAGCGGCAGCTGTTCCACCAGAACCAGCAGAGAGTTCACCGCAGTAACACCGGGAGCCCCTGAGAAACTCGCCTTTTGCCAGCCTTAAAACTTTTCTGTCAAAACCTGGAGGACACTAGAAGAAAACTGTTATCAAACCTGAGAGGGGTAATGTCTCCGCTGCAGCTGTCCGTCTACTGGCGGCTCTCCCTAATCTTCATCTTCACCTCCTTCCTCTTCTTTCTCGACATTTTCACGGCCGCCATTGCAGCGGCCACCTGTCTCCATGGCAATGCCACACATGGAATTCTGCCACTGAACTCCAGGAGCAACCAATCATGGACAAGGAAAAGCGGCGCTGATTTGAGAACAGATAGCGGGAACCAAGATGTGAGTAACGATCACTTCGGCAGGTTTTTTCCCCATTTACATCAGAATCAGCTTTATTGACCAAGTGTGTTGGACACAAGGAATTTGACTCTGGCACAGCGGATCTCAATGTGCATGTACATATCCCCTGGGGATATTTTGGGAAGGGGGGGATGTTCTAGTTGTACACTAGTTATCAGATTGGCCAGAAGCTGTAGTGCGTGGACATTCGGTTTGAAACAGACAACAACCAGGATGAAGCTCAAAAATTCTTGGGGAGAATAGAAGGGTTTGCAATTGATAAAAAGAGTCTCTAAGTCTGTTTTACATATCCTCTGTAGCACTGTGACATCTGTGCACCAACCTTTGTTTATGTAGAAGCAGATTCCACCTCCTCTCATTTTCCTGGACAGCTCCGTTACACAATCTGCTCTGTACACCTGGAAGCCCAGTACTTGGATTGCGCTATGGAGTCGCTGAGCCAAGTCTCCATGAAGCATAAGGCAGCAGAGCGTGCAAAGTCAGGGTTAGTACTGTTGACGAGAAGGATTTCATCCATCTTGTTGACCAGGGAGGGAAGATTTGCCAGGTGGATAGATGGGAGTGGGGTCCAGGTTCCTCTCTTGTGAAGCCTGATTAAGGCGCCTGCTCGCCTGCCTTGCCGGTGTTTTTTCCAGGTCCCATATATGGCAGCTGCGCCTCCGATCAGAATGTCCACACAGCATTCTTCGTTCACTAAAATTGGAGAAAGGTAGTTTGGTGTGAGTTGTTTCGATATTTAACAGTTCTTCTCTGATAAAAGTAATCTGGGATGGGTTGCAAAAGACCAAGAAAACAAAGAAAAACAACAAACACAAGAGAGCGCGAGTTACCATGGCTGCCATAGTTGTCAGTGCCAACTGTTATAAATATAGCATATCTTTGCAAATTCCTAGACATTTAAAGAGTTAAATATACATTTAACATATTTAGTAAATGAAGAATAAAGTGCCAAAACCACATTGGTTAATTTGCAACCTGTAGCTGTTACTGGTAATGTCTTCTGTCAATGATTAAATCAAAACCTCAGTGATTTTGTGAAATCCTTGTGAGCCATCTTACCCAGAGTCTGTTGACTGTAACTTAGAGAGGAAGCAATTTGTCTGCTGAAAGAAAATTAATCTGCAACCATTTTGATAACTGAATAATTATTTTTCAGGCATAATGCAAAATATTTGCTGCTTCAAATGCCGCTTCTCAAATATGGTAATGATAATCACCTTTATTTGGCCAAGTATGTTACACACACAAGGAATTTGTTTCTGGTACAGAACTGAGGCCGACATTTGCGGTGCCAACTCACACCGATGGCTCTAACCATCGGGGACAACTTGGAGGTTCAGTGTCTTGCCCAAGGACACCTCGACACACGGACTGCAGGCACGTGACTCAAACCTCCAACCCTCTGGCTGGGAGACGACCACTCTACCCACTGAACCACAGTCGCCTCACAAATATGAATATTTGCTGTTTTTCCTCTGGTTTATAGCTTTACAAACTGAATATTTTCAGCCGTTGGCCTGTTGGCTGTACGGAAAAAAAGTGAATTGAAACTGCAGTGGGAATTTCCCTATTTATAGCATAACACTGAGAAGATCACTGGGGAGCTTAAATGCTTAAACCACAATGTCTCAATATTACACTGCTATAAGTTACAATGTGTAATTAAAAAGGGTATTTGTATTTATCCACGACTGAAACTGGGAACTTGGAGGCGACCAAGAGCCTGACGTTGATTCTTTTTGGGCCAAAAATAAATGTTTTGCCCAGATTTTTTTGGTCTAACAGCTTGTCTTTTGTGCTTGTGTGTGCCAGTCAGTGTGTGACTGGACAGATTGGCTGTCCTATGGTCAGACTCTGTTTATGGTTGGTCTGCTGCTGGGATCTCTTTTTGGAGGAGCAGTATCTGACCGGTATAACACACAAAACATATAACTGTCATTTCTGTATATACAGTATGTCATAACAGTGGACTTTAGTAGATAATGATTTTACCAGCAGTGCTGTGTTTATGCAGGTATGGGAAGCGTCTGGTGCTACTGGTGAGTGTGTACCTGCACGCTGCGTGTGGCCTCATACCCGCTGTCCTTCCTCAGCCCTTCCTTTTCCTTGCTGTTCGCTGCCTAACAGGCATCTGCTGCTGCTGCATCAACATCTGCTCCTTCAGCCTGGGTAACAACACAAACAACAAAAAAATTTGTTTTAGATGCCAACACGTCCCAAAGGAAGAACGCCACATCTGAATCCAGTCTGAGTCCTCTGGCTGCTTTTAACCCTCTCCATGTCAAACAGCCAAACCAATGTTAACCCTGGTTGTGTTAGGTAGTGTGTGTGTGTGGTTGGACCCAAAATGCAGACTCTCAAACTCAGCAAGGAGTGACAACAAAAAGGAGTTTACTGAATCTAGAGCCAAAGTTAACTAGCGGAACGAGGTAGGCAGGCAACAGCGGGACCAGAGTAATGTGATGAGCAGGTGAACAAGGCAGGGTGGTGGACTCCAGGGCAACCACAGCACCTTTTTTTCAGGAAGATGGCAGGAACCAGGAGAGCCAGAGGACCAGGATGTGCAGTTGAGTTGACAGGACCTAGGAGGAGCAAGGGGTACTGCGAGGAGTGGGGGGTTGGGAGAGTCTGGCAGGATTACTCAAAGAATAGAGCGGGTGGTAGTGATTATCCACAACGCGACTGACAGGCGGGAACCAGCACAGCTCTACTGGTAGTCTGAATATTCAGCAGATCAGCTGGCAGATGTGCCGGTGTTCCTAATATTCTGACCCTCTCATGTATGTCAATGGGCAGGACAAAAATATACAGACACCTCTGAATATAATGTAGTCCGGTACAACATCACCCTTAACTATGACCTCAATAATGAACATATAATTGAATTTATACATTTATGACAATCACCAAAAACAAACATTTTGAGCTTCATAAATACAAATGTTAAGGCAGAAGTGTTGCATTGAAGTGAATACAGATGTACAGGCGGTCATAATGTTATGCCTGATGTATACATGACTGAAAACGAGAGATAATGAGGGACAGGTGAAACTAATGACCGGAGAATGAGACCAGGGTGAAGCTGGGGCAGGTGAGGTGAGACGGAAACAGCTCAAAACAAAAGCGCGAGATCAATGAACCTGAGAGCAACCATAACAGGTTGTTGCTCTTTCTGTGTCCCACTCTCTCTGTACAAAAGACGCCACCTCTTCACTGTGGCAGCCACCGGTACCGGCAGCTGCTGGTTCAGACTTTTAGCCAGCCAGAGCTCCTCTGTGGCTGTCTGGCATGACTACTGGTGGCTAGGTGGCAGGCGGGGCTAATTTACAGACCGTACTTTGACAACACAGGGTGGAGAAGCTGGAAGAACAACAGGAGGGCTGTAGGCAGCAGAGGGTCATGGAGGGGGGTGTAGCTGAGAGACACCACGTCCTGTCCCACTGTCACTGCAGACAATGTGGAAAATCTTTTTTAATGTACCTTTAGCAATAAAAACAACTGATTTTAAACCGCCTGTGTTGCAGCAGTGGAGTGGACTCAGCCTGCTGCTCGGCTCTGGCCACCAGCCTTCCTGCCGTTCTGCTTCAGTCTGGGTACGATGGTTGGGGCTCCCCTGGCGTGGCTCAGCCCCACCTGGAGAAAGCTGCACCTGGTGCTGGCTCTGCCACAGCTTATCTGTCTGCCAGTCTACTTGTAGGTGAACACAACCATCTGTCTACTTGTCTTTGTGTAGTCACATTTCTGCATGGATTTTTGAATAATTTTAATAGATTCGAGGTATTTTGTCTTTCAAGTTCGATCCCAGAATCTCCCAGCTGGTTGTTGTTGAGGCAGAGGATGGATGTTCTGGACCATTATCGCAGCAGCAGCCCTGCAGATAAGCAGTGCCTGGATGTGGTAAACACACAACCTCAAATCCATTTAAAAGACAGCACTTTATATGTGTTACTGTCATCAAATCCCATGAAAAAACACAAACCAGCACCAAGAAGCAGCGTTCAGCTTCTATACACAACACATTGAGAACAAATGTCCCTAAAACTTCAGGTCTGCTCTCTGAATCCTATTTATTTGTCTTGAAGTTAGAAAGTCACCAAGTATTGAGCAGTGCACTGACTGGGTTAACTGTATGTTTCTGTGGGCGCAGCTGTTGGATTCAGCTCAGTCAGATTTGCAGAAAGCCCCAAAGGCTCAGGAGGAATCACCTGGGGGCCACACCCCCAGTGACATCATCCATCACCTGAGACACCCGACCATCCTCCTGCGGATGTTTATCATGAGCTACCTGAGGTAAAACACACACACTTAGGTTGGTGTGTTGATAAGTCTTACAGTAGTGTCAGAGTGGTTTGAGGCAGTCGAGGATGACTGGATGAGGGAAACTACATCCATGAAGTAAGGTCTGGTTAAGAGACAACTCACAATAAAACAAGAAAAGGAGGAGGAAAAGTGGAAGAGCAGACGAGATGCATTCACTGGTGTTTCTCCTGTGATTCTACAGTGCCGTGTCTGCACTTACATACTACGGCATCTGTATGAACATTGGCTCATTCGGTGTTGGCGTTTACTTCGCCCAGTTCTTCTCCGGACTATCAGAAGTTCCCTGCCTGTTCGTCCCATTGGTTCGCTTGGGACGGCGTCCAATCAGCATGCTTGCTCTGTTCCTGAGTGGAGCGGCCTGCTTCTTGTCATTACTGCTGTCCAGATACAACTGTGAGGAGAGAAGCACCAAGGACTCAGATTAAATATCTGTGCATTTGAATGATCAGATGTTCAAGTAGACTGAAATACAACACATTAATTACAGGCTAATGTTTGGAGTAACAGAACTTATCTAAATCACTTCCTCTGTGCAGTTCAACCGGTGCTAGTGATGAGTCTAGCTCTGCTGGGGAAACTCTGCATCATGGCCGCCATCTTCATCTCTATACTGTACAGCATCGAGCTGTTCCCAACTGTGGTCAGGTACACAGTAACACGAACACATGCTCAGATATTTACCAGGTTGGATAGAACATTAACGAAGTCACTACTATCCAGACAGCGGTGTGTGGCCATAGTCAACCTGTGTTTCCGACTCGGCTGTCTGGTCAACACCCTCCTCCCCCACAACCCTGACGGAGCCATCTCATTGGCTGCTATGGTTGTGTACAGCAGTGGGCCAATCATTAGCTGCAGCCTGTGCCTGCTGCTGCCGGAGACCAGCAGCATCGCACTTCCTGATTCAGTGGAGGACTGCAACAGGCAGCCACGGCCCCACCCACCCGGGGTTGGTGCCATCAGGAGGACATGGTGGGAAAAAACACACATATAACTGAATTGAACTGAATTACAATTCTGGCTTTTAAAAATAATGAAAATAAGAGGAGCTTTATTTGGTCTGTTTTGTTTCCGCCCGGCTCTGAAGTGTAGTGTAAGCCCACATGAGCGGAACACCTGACACTAAAAACTATTTATTCACTCATAGATTTAGTTACAAGCCAGTGTTTACAACACTGTTTCTTTCTAAAGAGGAAATATTTAGAAAATTCAGGTGATTTTAAAAAGGGTACAGACTTTTTCGGTCTTTCTTCTGGGTGACAGTTTTTCTTTGAATTACTCTTACATACTTTGCATTTTGAAGAATGCTGCTTGGTTTTCCAAACTCTGAAAAACACTGCTAAGTGTCAGCGTTCATAATTCACAGATATACTTGGAACATTAAAACACAAAACTTCCACATTTCTGGGAGATGCTTTTATAGCATTGAGCTCCTTGGAAACACTATTTTAGTCTTTTATCAGGTCTTTGCCTACTAAATGTGTGGTTTTATTCAGACTCTTATCTAATGTGGCTGTTGTTATCAGTGCTGTTCTGATGTTAACAGTCTTTACTGAGTTTCAGCTTTCAGAATCAGCTGACATGTTCCAGGTAGAAGCCACAAAGAACTGCAGCATGTGAAGCAACTGATCAAGCTGCTCAACTTAATTTAGCCAGATTTTCAGTTATGTTGCGGCCTCAAAATGTTTAAGACATTTGCTTTAAAAAAGAGAATAAATGACATCACACACATAGTAGCAGGTGCAAAATGAATCACTGTGTTGATTTATGGCGTGTGTGTGTTTTCAGGAGGCTGCTGAGCTGCCAAACCAAGAACACAGCGATCATGCCTGCAGATAAAGAGGACATGCACACTGCAAACGCACAAACAGGACTGATATGAATGAACCCGCAGAGTTCATTTGGTTTTAACATAAACTAGTAAGTTTTGTTTAAGCTCTGGTTCAAATCAAAGACCAAAAAACATGTTGCAGGATCAGAGGTAACAATTGTCAGCTGCAGATGTTGTTCAGTGGCTGTTGGAGAGTTTAAGACTTGAAAAGACAGCAGCACATTTTGAACAAGACTTGTGATTAGCTAATGGGCTTATAAATGCTTAGATTTTACACCCAGGAGAGTCCAAAAAGCAATAAACATAACTTTTAACAGGTCTTTAACTTTACAGGTGTAACTAATGTAACTGCCCTTTGTCTTTGGGGATCACAGTAAGTGCAGTACAGATACCTGAAACCACTTGTACCTCGGTCCAGTGGTAGGAGACGCTGTGTCTTCTGTCCCTGACTGACTGCTGCTCTGCCAAGTTTCCAGCTGCTGAAAAACAAATGACACATACTGTATGTAGCCACAGAGAGCCTCAAACTACAGCATTCAGACCGTTTCACTTTTTGATATCATCACTATGCCACAGTAAAATCTTACCTGAAATTCTGTGGCTCCACCTGAGTCTCTGCTCTACTACCTGTGTGTTTCTATTAAAATGAAACGTAACACTGAGGAACAAAATCATTTGGCCTGAAGTTACAAAGCAATCCAAAGATAGTGAGAGGGCTTTCTTCCCGGGGGTAGGCTGGCAGGTTAGCTAGCCTAGCTCACATGTTGCAACATTTTTCACTTAGACAAATTAAGTCCCAACACTTACCAATAACTCTTTCTATATCCACTTAATTTATAGGATATCAGTGTGGTCGTGTTAATTTTGTTTAGCAAACACAAAAACTTACCGTTAGCTAGTTGCTAATTAGAGCAAAGGACAACAAGCTAACACTAATTTTTACAGCACTTATAGGTCAACTACTAAAAGCACTTTAAATCAGAAAATTCTGCAGCTGTGAGTAATGTACTACTTTATAGTGATGTTCCCTCTGATAACGAAGCTCCGAAGCTTGCTTCAAACTCGGAAAGGTATTTTTCTAAAGTTCGGTGTCGGAGATTGCTTCAAATCGGGAAAAACCACGTGATTGATGACGTTCGACCCACTTCCCTGTTTCATTCAGACTGAATCAGCTGACTGGTTTGGTTCACAGGGGGAGCTTTGAAACATTGGGGCAATACAGACGAAGCTCCGAAGCTTGCTTCAAACTCGGAAAGGTATTTTTCTGAAGCACGGTGTCGGAGATTGCTTCAAATCGGGAAAAACCACGTGATTGATGACGTTCGACCCACTTCCCTGTTTCATTCAGACTGAATCAGCTGACTGGTTTGGTTCACAGGGGGAGCTTTGAAACATTGGGGCAATACAGATGTTTGTAGAATAGATGAAACTGCGCTCTGTGTCTTACCTCTTGTCAACATATTTTGGATTGTCTCGCTATGGAGCCATCAAGGAAACGTTCACAAGTGTGGAAACATTTTGAATTGGTGCCACCAATTAAGGTAAATTATATTTCCAAGATTCAAGCCTTATTGTCAAGTCTGTTATTTATACAATGGATATTCAAGTAATATGCGCGCTTCAACAGGAAGGAACCAAACACCCTGAACACAGAGGGGTGTCTGTGTGTACCGGTCCCATTTAGATCGTAACATAAAAGCACAGAAACTAACATGTAGCTTCTACATTTAATCAGTAAAGCTAATTAAACCAACCTTATTCCGAAAGTAGAATTTAGCAATTAGCCTACTATAGCTATCCAATCTGAAAAATGCTAGAGGGCATGTACCCTTCAGGTTTAAGCAAAAGTAGTATTTACTTGTGTAATGTACAGCAGGCTATTATGAAGCAGCATAGGACAGAAATATTCAAGTGTTCTAAACCGGAGAGCAGTAAATGATTTTAGTTGCTTACTACCGTTGTGAAATGAACTGAAACTCATAAACAAGTAATTTGTAAAAACTTTAAAAAGTCAAACATAATAAAGTAGAACTACTACAACTGTGACTCTCCATCTCACTAAACAAACTATAGTAAAGAGGAAATAATACAATATGTATTAATCTATAATTATATATAGAAATATTACATTTTTGAAGCTTATTCAAGCAGGTTTTGTAGCCTATGTAAATGACAAAACAGTTCAATGATGTCAACAAATATGCATTAAAAGTGAAGGTTGTGATATTTTAGATTTAAACTGTTTTAAATCAGGGAACAGCAACATATTCAAGTGTCTAACATTTTTAAAGGCTCAAATTAAATTAAAAATCTGTGAAATTAGTCTGAAGACAATCAGATTCTAAACTGTTGAATCACTGGTGGACAGAACATTAATTCAGAGGATTTATGGACTTCTTTAGTACCTAAAAGTGACACATCTGGAAGCATTTTATGAAATTTATATTTGAAACAATGCAAAAATCTAAATTGGACAAGAAAACATCCTGCAATCTGTATACAGATTTCTAAGTTTTGTTTCTTTTTTTATGTTTATACTTTAATAAATAAAACAACTGATAGAAATATGCATAAATACATCAAAATCTTTATGGATTTATTTATGATTCACATACATTTTCTGATATGTAAAAACAATCCCAAAACACCATGATCATTTTAAACCAGACTAAACTGGCAATAATCCTGCTGTCATCTTTTAAAAAATGAGCATCATCAATTTATATATACTATAAGTGTCACTAATTCGCACCATTGACTTCCTCCTTTTTAAAAGTGGACACAGTAACAGACCCCCAAAGTGTACACTTTAAACACTGTTTTACATGAACGGATAGTGAAGAACTCAAGTGTAACTTACATTCCCTCTAGTCCTTTCAAAGTAAAATTAAATTCATCCGGTGCTTCTATATAGAGTGAGTGATTCTATATTCATCTACTCAAAACATTCAGTTTTGAGTAGATGTTGTTGCATTTGCTCAAGATTAGCCAAGCACCACCTCCACAATAATGTAAAAAATGCATCTAAAAACCATTAAAAAGTGTCAGATGGCATTGCCATTCCCATTGCTCTGTGGTTCACTGAACTCAGCACTACAGAGCAGATGTGCCAAAAATTAAGATTTTTAATTCATAATTATTAAGAGTTTTAAGGTTTAAGGCACTGAACACTGACAGCTCAATTATTAAAGTGTGGAAATATAAACTTTGTATTTCTATGATCTATTTGAGCACAACTGAAGCTTTTTAACCAGCTTTTTGTACCGTTTTTAACATAAGATTAAAAAAAAACAACAACTAGGAAATAAGACTCGTAAATAAAATGACTAATCTGCCACCTATTTTGTCAAATTATCAGTAAATGTCAACATATACCTGGGAACAAGGTGGTGTCATCAGATATCTTGTTTTGTCAGATAAACCCTAACATGTTCAGTTTTATGCAAGGTAAGAGCAGGAATAGCAGAAAACTCTCAAATGTTTGGTTGACAAAAAAAAAGGACCTTAAACAACTGACGGTCATAATAGCTAGAGATTAAATTTCTTCAAAAATGTCTCCCCAAACCCTAAATTATTTGTCCTGTAGAAACTGTCATCCAGCTGCAGTTCTTCCACCAGGCCATCAGGGGGCAGCGGTCAATATGAGACAAAGTTGGCGGGGAAGATACCGACCCGCCCATCTTCCATTTGTCCCTCCCACCAGTCGTACTGGGACTCGGTCTTCGTGATGACAGTGATTCTGTCGCCAGGAACAAAGCTCAGGTCGCCGGCCTGCTGCCCTGTGAATGGATGGGTGGCCGTCACCACCAGCTGGCCGCTGGCCCCGCCCCCTGATGCTGCCCTACCTACAGAAAAAGAAATTAATACAAATGTATTTTTAATAAAACAGCACCATAAATTAGACCTCACTCTTAGGATATTTGCATTTTTATATAAATCTGAGGGCATTTTAACACAGACCAAATATAACAGTGATTTTATTATGCTATAGAATAAAAAAAAAAATGTAAACATTTTTTAATAAATTTAGGATTATGATTAAACCAATTGCTCTTAAAATATCTGCAAGATTCATTTAAGTCACTAACATGTGCCCATTTATATGTGTGTATATTTAGTCTTTTTCATTACTTTTCCTGCTGTTTCACTTCAAATATACTTGTTTTTCCATGTTTGATCTGTGTAATCTGATTTTAAAAATCTAAATAAACTTGGTTACCTTATTAAGTACAAAACTGCATTTTTTAAATATTTTGCAAAAGCTTTTAATACTTAATTAGTTCTGTAATTATATTTCTTTACTGGATATTACAAAAGGTATTTTAGAAATGCTTGTTTTGTTATCAAATTGTTATTTATTGTGCAATGGCTATTTTAAAAATAAGATGATTAAAAAAAAATGTAAAGAATTTATCTGCAGGTTGGAGACATGAACACTAGAGGGTGCTGCAGCCTGAACACAAACTGGCCGCACAGAAACACTGATTATACTGTATGTAACCGTGTTTGCACATGAACACAGGATGTCTCTCTTTTGTTAATGCACAGCTCTCTCTCTCACACACACACACACAGAGTTAACAGCAGCAGGATTATTAATGAGTCTGTTTGTGTTAATACAAGTGTCAAGGCGGCGAGTTAATAAAAAACCTGCGCACATGCTCCTGAACCGCCACCCTCTGACAAGGTGTGTGTGTGTGCGCTGCTGATACACAAGTGGAAACACTGATCTCATCCATCATCAGTCAAAGGAAGGAAGGACGGCGGTACAAAAGGAGGGAGGGTGGTAATGAAAAAAAGATGCAAGAGGGAAGCAAACAAGGGGATAAAGAAGGAAACAGGGTAGCAGAGAAGGAAAGGAAACAAAAGGTAGGAAAGGGAGGTGGTGGTAAAGAAGGAAAGGAGAAGGTAGACAAGGAAAGAGAAACAAGAAGACAAAAGGAGGAAATGAGGTAAAGTAGGAAAACAGTGAAATGAAAGATGAGGCCACAAGCACACCTGTTTTTAGTATGTAGAAGAAAGGCAAAACTCACTCGAGGTTTCAGATTTGTAGACAGAGATGCTTGGGTAGAGGGCATTTTTACTTCTTGTACCTGAACACACCAATCATTACACACCCATTTACATTAGACATCAACAAATATAATAACACTTGTTTAAGATGAAGTTTCACCAGAGCTGGCTGCCGGTGGCTGGTAACTGGGTGCTGGTTCCTGGTAAATGGGTGCTGGATCATAGTAAGTGGGTGCTGGTTCCTGGTAAATGGGTGCCGCTCTCTGCGCAGGTGGAGCTGGAGGTCTGGATGGAGGAACAGACTGGAGAGAGGCAGCCAGAAAAATGACTTTTACCAACGAGTAGAAAATGAACGTCTCGCAGGAGGCGTGTGTCACATGTCCCTCAGTCTGCTGCTTTGGTCAGTACAATTACTTACATACTGTAGTTCAATCAATCAAATTGTCAAAACACATGTGAACCCAACACTAGAAATACTCAAATGGCTGTTGGCTGTGGTTTTACTGTTATAGTATCTGGCATTTCCTACCTTTGTACGGTTTTACTGTTCTAGTATCTGGCATTTCCTACCTTTGTACGCATGTTCTTGTTGGTCCAGTCAGTGGTGTAGGCCTCGCTGTATTCGTCCAGGATGTGGTAGAGGTCGTAGCACTCTGGTGGAGGCTCCACATCGCCATTCAAAATGGCCGAAGCACGGATATCTTGGGAGTAGAACCTGCAACAGCAACGCAAACACAAATGAAGACATGAATTAAAGGTTGGCATTCAGGTGTTCAGGCAGGTAGGAAGATGTCTCCCATGCGCACTTGCGGTTGGCGTCTTTGCGTTCCATCAGGTAGGATCCCTCCAGAGAAATACCGGCAAACAAACCTCTGGATCTGCAGTAGGTGAAGATTGCCGCGGTGCTGCGTAAAGCCACATCAGCCTCCACGTTTCTGAGAAACAAAGATAAAGAGGAACATTATCTCTGTGGCAAAACATCATCACACTAGAAAATGATCATCCACTTCTACAGTATGGTTTTACCAGAATTAACCAGGAAAGTCTGCAGATTAACAGACTGACATTCCTCAACAAGGCACATAATCTGATTGTTTTCTCCAAAAGGCTAGATTAGCCATGACCAGCAAAGGGCACCTCAATCTCCCATCATGCTGTCCAGAGGTCCAGTTGTACTGTGGGTAATGTAGGCACCAGATTTTGATGAAGAAACAATTAGTGGAATGAAATAAAATAAAATAAATAAATATAAACTCTTCTGTTGCAACTATCTTGATACTAAAACTGTTCAGTTTGACATAGGATTGCATTGTTATACCACTTTTACACTTCCAGTGGGAGGAAGCCCCCACCTTTAACCTCTTGCACCCCTGATATGCCACCATTTCTCACTGGTGCTCCACAAGGCAGGATCCTAGGTCCTCAGTTATTCCTTGTTTTTAAGCAAAATCCCTCTCTCTCCTCCAGGCTTCCTTTTGCATTTTTTTAATTAGTGTTTATTTTATTGCCGTTTCTGCAAAAATTAAACATGATGCTGATAAGTTTGTCTTTTTATAAAGATAAATGTGCATCTATGCATATACTAGGTGCAAAACTTAAATCCCACACAGTTTGAAGTCAAGATAAATAACATGCTTCAGTTTATTTTCTGTCTGCAGCTGCGTCAGAGAACAGCCACAGACAGACATCCACCTGTAGGTTCCACACCTGGCCCCGCCCACACACACCTGCCAAAACCTGTCCAACTGCCCTGGTATGACACCAACCTCCTTATTCTAACGTCACCCATGTCAATCACAGCCTCTATAGTGAATCACATCTAATATTGTAATTGCCACAGAATCTGTTTATACTTCCGCTTCAAGCTGTCATTAAAAACCTCATGAAGGGAGAATAAAACACTGCAACCTAAGCTATAATTTACATCAACACTCAAGACTAGATGCCATTAAAAGTCAAAGTGCAGGTGCTCACCTGCCCATAGGTCCCACAGCAACAGTGCAGTTCCCACCCAGAGTCAGGTTCCCACCCTTGGTGAACGCTTCAATGGCCCTGCGCTGGTTCAGGATGATGACCAGGTCCGAAACCTGACAGGGGTTCAATAAATTCACTATATTTTTTTATCTCAATGGTGTGTTTTTGCCATGTGTTCGTTTTTAAAGGAGGTTGCTTTGATGCCTCCCTGCTGATGCATTCAACGACAATATGAAACGCGACATTTTACAGTCAGCTGGTGGAAAATTATTCATTTGTGGTCTTTACACTGAAATTTTTAACAAGTCTGTGGTGTTTACTTTCAAGTAAAATCTTATTTTTCTAAAAAGGAAACAAGAAAGCCACTTCAGAAAATGTTTTGGTATTTTTGCTTTAAAAAGAAAGATTTAGAATTTCCACAAATTTGGGGGGCTGGTAAGAGACAGTGTAACAAATTAATGATTCAGATCTGTGCAGCAGAGACGATACCCAGTCCAAGTTCATTTTCACATGTCAACATACAGGAAAGCAAAATGCTGCTCCTCACAGACCACAGTGCAAAACAGTAAGTGCAACAAACAATAATTACAACAAAGCTATACTTAAAAATTGTCACCAAATTCTCATGTGTTAAATCTGTATGAACTCACCCACCTCCACACCAATCTCAAAGCCTCCTCCCAGGCCAGCGATACCGATGGCCGAAGGCGCTGACCAGCCTACACACACACAAACACAATTTAAAAAGCAGATGTGTTGATGAGGTTTTGGTTTAAAGAGACTCCTTTTACCAAGACCAACAAACATCTACACTGGAACAGATAAGATGTTATTATGGCTGCATCATAAATAGCAGAAACACAAATAAACCAATTGAAATTTCTGCCCATTACACTACATACAGGTTGCCGTAACCCTCGCAGTTCAGGTCAATGCAGATTCCACTCAGTTATGTTATATTATACTTTCAGTCGAGTATTGAGTTTGTGTACTTCTGCCACCCCTGCTCTAATGTGAAAACCCAGAAACCCAACAGCCAGCCTATAGAACGGCAGTGGCGACAGCAGCAGCACGTGACACTCATGGGCTTCGGCCTGATGGCAAACTCTGCCAGCGCAAACTGATGGAACATCATTAACCAAACACATCAGATGACGCCGCTGCTGCTCATAACATCACAGAGAGATCTGAGGAAGTATGTCCGTCTGCTTCCACAGCAACACAAAATGCCACAAAACATCCCCCACCCCAAAAAATGTCAGAAGAAGAGGTCAGTGCAGGACTGGAAGGAAAAACATCTACAAGATACCAAGTCTTCCTGTGCAGAGGGCCAACAGTGTGTAGGGCTTTACAGTATTTCTTGCACAGGAACATAGACGAGGATGAAAAAGAACTGGGAAGTTATATTTTGCTGACGGACAGCGGGTCCGTGAGGTCTTACGTCTGTCGGCCAGCCTAGCGATGACAATGCCACTGCCTCCTCTGGCTGTGATCATGAAGCCAGCCTTGATGACGGAGATGATGGCCAGACCCTCCGCCTTCGCTATCACATGAGCTACAACACAAACACCTCTTTCAGTAAATACACACATTAACATATTTTTAAATCCCCCCCCCCCCATTCTTTCCTTTAAATTGTTCCTGCTTTACCCTCACTTGTTTCTCTTTTGACACAAATACAACCCCAGGTATCAAACATTGATTCTGCAGGTATTGCACTTGCACCGAAATTCAGTGCTCAGATCAGTATTTTTACCAACTGTCTTTTCAGTCCACAGAAACAGTGTAACTAAAGGAGGACAGGACCGTTTGTCTTTTCTTACGGGGGATGAGTTTGTCAGGTCCATTCCTGTTGGAGATCTCCGTGAACTCTCTCAGGATCTTTGCAGCTTTCTTTGCCTCCGACTTCAGATTGGTCGGGATGGGATTATTCACTACAAATGCACAAATGATACGGTTTATTATAACGTCAACACCTCAGTCAGAGTTGCCCACAGAAGCTTGACTTTATCTGTAATTTCTAATTGATTTCATCTACATCCAAGCCACAAGAAGTAAATGTTACTGTGAGTAAAACAGACAGACCTGATGGATTTGAGCACATTTATCCTTTATAACATTTATCCTTTATAAAAACAACTCAACTGACTGTGTATACAAATTGTTTCCATTTACTCTTCTTCTGATACAGGTGTTAACATTTATCATTTATAAAAACAACTCAACTGACTGTCTATACAAATTGTTGCCATTTACTCTTCTTCTGATACAGGTGTTTCACATTAGCTCCATCCTCCTTTTCCCAAACTGTATTTCTCTGAGCGACCCCAAAACTCTACATATTCTTGTGCTGGGGCTTCCCTGGTGTATTCATGCTGCTGAGCTATGTCATTGTGTCGTGGCTCAGCTGAGGATCGGACATTCTGACTGCATTGTGTTGTTGTGTCATGGTTAGGAATGTGCTGGCTGCACCATGAGGCATGTTGGCTAACTGGTTGTTGGCGTTTCAGGACAGCAGTAGCTGATACAGGAAGCTGAAGGACAGGATCAGTGGTTTTAATCCAAATAAGAGCTTCTGTTACAGTCACCTCATTTGTTAATTTAACTGTCAGTCTGAAGTCATGCTAGCAGCTCTGTGTGGTATAGTTCAGTCATGGGCTAAACCAGGGGTACATGAACATTCAAATCAAATGTCATCACAACTCATCCAAAAGCTGATGAAATATTCCACTTTAAACCACAAATGTGAACCTCATGGGGGTGCTCAAAAAAAAAAAACCCTACAAAAATAAGGCTCAGGTTTCTGAGGATGTTCTATTTGATTTGGTTCTACTAGCTAAGGAGGTTCTGCTCATCTCTGAGTAGAGTCTGTTTGGGTCTATTCATCTTTGAAGTGTTTCAACTGGTCTTTAAGGAAGGTCTAGTAGTTTCTGGGGACCATATAGTCATCTTACAAGATGGTTCACTTTGCCTTTGAAAAGGTTCTAGTGACATTTTATGTTGTGGTAGTCTCATTTTGGATTTGTTTCAGAGGGTAAGCAGGATCTAGTGGTCTTTGAGCAGCTCATCTTTAAGTTCAGCCTGTCTAGGAGATTTGAAACTGAGGGGTTTCTAGTGCTGAGAGGAAGTCCTAGTGGACTTTTGGGAGGTAGTCATCTGATGGCGGCTTTGGTTCTATGGAGTGGGCATTGAGGAAGTTCTAATGGTCTTTTGGTTCTAGTAGCTGAGGACGTTCTCATCCTTTAGAAAGATGTTCTATTGGCCTTTTAGGTTCTAGTCCTCTATGAGAATGTTCAAGTGTTTGTTTTGGATGTTCTACTGGTCTTTCAAGAGACTAGTGGTCTGCAGTGGTCTCTGAGGAGATTCCATTGGTTCTCTGGGTGTCAGTCAAACATTCGTAATTGCTAAAACAATTTAACAAATTTGACACTTTATTACAAAAGACACAATGTGCCAAATTCACCTCTGCTGGAACCACTTCAAGAGTACAACCCCATTAAAAATGACTAGAACATACCAGACCACCAGAACCTCCTCAGAGACCACCAAACCCACCTCCTCGGTCTATCCAACCAATTTAATAGACTACTAGACTTTCCCCAAAGACCACTGGAACCTAAATCCTCCTCACAGTTGAATGAAACCCCCTAACAAACAACAAAAATGTAAGAAAAAAAAACCATCCAGAACCTACTCAATGATTGCTAGGAAACCAGAGACCACCACAGCGCCCTTAAATCAACTGGAGCCTTTTCCACCTTAAAAAAATGTTGAGAGTCATCAACGCCTGGCTACAAAATCGAGTGACAAAATTTCTCAAATCAACATTTTCTAACCTTCACTGAGTTATTTTTACAACGTGGACGTTTTACGTGCCAATCACAGCGTAAACTAGTAAATCCTGTGAAGCTGGAATAAGAAGATTGTTACACAGGGAAACAGGTGAAAGAGAAAACCCAAACCAGAACCAGAACTAAAACATAAACACGGAGGGTTAGCAGCCACAGAACTCTTCAGCCCGTTAACACAACAGCATCTGAGGATTAATTAACTTACTTTTGCTCTTTTTTGCTCTTTTTTGCTCTTTCTTGTTCCTTCCTTCCTTCCTTCACTCTGGCTTTTTACCTGCGCACAGGTGAGCTGCTGACGCTCTCTTCACTTCCGAGTCACCTGATTTTAATGACTGCGCCGCGCGCTGCTGGAAATAACAGGCGTCACGTAAAAATCAATAAAACAAACAAACGAGGCCCACCTGGACAGGTAAAAGCAGAGAGGTGGAGCTAATCGGTTAGCCATACCAAGCGCGCGCGCGCACACACACAAATTAATGAATGGAGCGGTGTTTTTACCGAGACAGGCGTAGCTCGGACAGCCGGTGAACATCAGCTGGGCGCGTTCCTGTACCTGGTCGGAGATCCATTGGGCGCGTTCTTGAGCTTACGCTTTGTTTTTCCTGAGTGCAGTCTTTCAGGCACATTTCTCCTTATGTTACTTATTCAAAAACAGATTTAATCATGTTGTTATTAATATTAATAATAATTTTGGACGCAAATGGCACAGTTAATATTGTAAATCGAAAATGTTTTGGTCTCTATTAAAGAAAATATGCCCTTGTATTGGCTCATCACAATAATAATTTGATTAAGCTATGGTGCCTATTGGCTAAATCTCACATGCACAAAGCCAGATTTCTTTACTTTCTTCGAAACACAATCCTGTGTGAGCTTATGCTGCTGCCTGTACAATCTCTAAAAACAAATATGTGATAAGTAGATTAGCTTATGCATTTATATTTACTGTTAGTTTTGTTGCTATTTAATTTTTACAGTTGTGCATGTCTATTTGAATTTTCTGGCTGTACTGTTGCCTTGTATTGTTATTGAGCCACTGTTGCTCATGAGGTTCAATCTCAGATTTAAGGAGTGCATTAAACAGGTCTTTAGCAGGATCAGGGGAGCCAGGTCTCTGGGTTTGATGCTGGCCAGGCTGAAGGAGGCTCCTTCTGCTGTCGGTCACCACCAGGAACAGACCAGCGTTTATTGGCTTTAACCTCTAAACCTGCTCTTATCTCATCTGATCCTGCAGCCGCTTCTACTGGACACATTTACTGCATAGTTTCACCCTGAGAAAACTATTAAACGTCAGCCCAGGTCCACAAAATATAATAGAAAAGAGATACTTTAGTATAATTATTGTTTTGTTTTGGATTCATTGGCAAAAAATAATATTATATACACAAAGAGAACAAGAACATAAAAATGCACAGCACAGAAACACTGAGGGAAGATAGATGAAAATAAAGTAAAAATAGAAATAAAAATTGTATATTGACATTATGGTGTTATTGTTGGTGTTCATGAGTGTGTATTTGATGTTTCTGTTCATGTATCCCTCTGTATGTTCTTCCCTCTCCTCTTTCTCTCATGTCCTTATCTCTTTCTTCAATCGCTGCTCACATTAATCCCTCTTCTCTCTCTTTAAATAGCCTGCAGGATAAACATCAGTCTCGCTACAGCCATTTGTCTTCTTAATGTGTTTCCACTGACTCTGTGTGTGCACATTAAACCAGCCGGTCTCCACAAACCAGTACAGGCCTCCCAGTCCTGCTCAGAAGCCTCCAGTCTGAGTCCTTTTGCACATCCACCGTGAATTGTCCTCCAAGTCTTTTAATGTACTTCAAGTCCCTTTTCAAGTCCTTCACTCATCCAGTTAGTAGAGCCTGGAGTCCTTTTTGGTGTGGGTGCCTTCCCATGTGCAGCAGGAACCTTTTCCTGCCTCTCCACAGTTCCCATTCCAGATGATAGTTTTACCTGAGAGCATTTGGTGGTGTCTAAGTGGACACAACTGCTGCTACAACCTCACCAGTCATTGCTCTAGTCTGGGTCATGCTGGCCACCCCCACAAGCTATCAATCAACCATCATCTTCCAGGGAGACGCATGGTGTGCAGATGCTCCTTTATATAAAAGCAAAAGCAATGCTTACCTTAAGTGTATGTGAACGTGCATGCGTGTTGGGATGTAGATAGTCACAGCAGAGCTCTGGCAGAGATTCAGGTGTAATTCATCACAGATTAGTCATTACCTGCAGCAGCAGTTGGTCACTGCCTTTTTATATAACTTTGCCCTCAGTCACTGGGTGGACTATTGAACGGGCCAACCAGGCACAGGCCCAGGAGCCCGAGCGGTCAGGGGCCCCTGGACCAGAGCCTCTCTATGAAGCCAGTGGCGACATTTCTTGTTGTCAATTAACAACAAGTTGACAAAAATTTGTAAGAACAGCTGCAAAACAGCCACAAAAAGATGAAATATTAGCACAAGGACACACAAAACAACTTCACAGACAAAAGCAAAAATAACCACAGAAAGAAACAAAGCAACAAAAAAAGAGTTGCTAAACAAGTGGCCACAACTAAATATAGATGCAAAATGATTAAAACAAGACTGAAAATGACAGAAGAGACACAAATCTCTCAGTCTGGAGTTCTTGATCCTGTGTAGGAGGGCGGGATGCTCCTCTGTGCCCATAATCCATCTATATGCATGGCATTTGCTGTTCCAGTATTGTTCATTGTAACTATCCAACTGTTTCAACATCGTTTAACTTCAAAATCACAAGCCAAAACCGATGAATCATTATGTCTAGACTAGGCACTGACATTGAATCTAAACTTAAATATCCACATATCTAGTGTTATTCTGCTGTCCTGTCAAACTGCTAGAACCATAATTAGCAGCATATGAGAGAGAAAAACCTGTCACCTCTGACTCGGGTCTGAGAGTCGAAATATCAGGGGTTTCTGTCTCCCACTTGGTGAGAAGAAAGACGTGAACGAGGGCAGACTGGGATTAAAGAAAGCCGTGGCCATTTTGTCCCATATAGGCTCACAGCACGCAGAACACAGCATGCAGCAGGGCTGTGATTATACCAGCTCACGGTACTATTACTGGCCAAGGTATCAGTCACAGTCGCAGCAGCAGAGACCCTGCAGGCCGGAGGCAGGACAGCTGCACCTGAACCTGATCGTACACAACATGCCTTAAAATCAAACACAATATTGTCTTTTAGAGGCTGTAGGTGTTGAATACATATTAACATTTTCACATAAAACAGTCAGTGAATTTAAATATCTGCTTATCAACCTTATGCTGCTTGTTTCATCTAAAAGCAAAGTTTAAAAACAGACATTTAAGACAAGTTAAACTGATGAGGAGATAAAAATGCTGAAACAAAAATAGGTTAAAGGGAAACAAATCTTCTTTCTGTTGTCATGTGACTGTGAGAAGTCAGGGTCTAGTCCACTCATGTGAAAGCAGACTGGTTCGATTCCCAAACCTCTGCTGAACTCTGTCACACAGAAACGCATCCATCACAAACAGCAGCTGTTTACGACAAGGCCTGACAAAATGTTTTTGTGTCTAAAGATCCTGGGATGGAAATGAAAAGAATTTAAAGCAGAAAATTCTGCTGAAGCCGAAAGCCGCCATGGTTGTCTGTTCTCCTGAGATCACCAGTTATGCATCTCATTATTTTTGGATGACAGTTATTATCTTGTCAAAATTCATCTTGTGTACTGAATGATGCACGTGTGCACTTTAGTTTCCTCAAAATAAGAGCTTAATAGACAAACCCACCTTGTTACAAGAATAATTGCAGCAAAGGTTGTTCACGGCTTCTGTTAAAAACAAACAGTGAAATACAATTTTTCTGCAGCTTTAAAAGTGAAATTTACCTGCTGAAGTGTGATAAACGTTAAGGCACATGTCTCAGTTTTTCATCTACTTTTACACATGCTTGGTTTGGTTCACATTAACTGTGGCAAGTTTGCCTGTTACGCTTCGTTTGTCTGAGCTGGTGTGACATAAACAACCAGACCATGTTCGCTTAAAACGGTCACGTTGATTTGGAGTGGGACAGTGGAAAATTGCTCCACTGTTGTCTATCTGTGTTCACACCAATGTCCTGAAAACCAACAACAAGTGTAAACATGCATGTTTACTGAAGTCAGATGGGCTGACAGGTAACTCACTGATTGGACAGTTTTAGTGATGTAACACAAATTGTGTTTATATTCATTGTTATTCACCTAAAGGCCTGAAAACTACAGGAACTACTCGTTTCCCTCATTGAACATTTGCAACCGATTCTTGTAACTGGCACAGTTTGCATCCACATGCTAGCAGGTTTGGCCTTCTCTGCCTGTGCTGGCACATTGCTGAGTTTCTTTGTGCGTTAGCGCCCCCTGTGGGTTACTGGACTCTAGTGTAGCCATTAGCAGGA